TTTGGATCTGATGTTGTAATTATTAGTGGTGGACAAATAATTTAATATATTAAAAGAATTGATTGAAAACGACCCGTACCAAAATTAATTCTCTTACAAGAGAGGACAAAGAAATCCGTACTTATTTTGATGGGTTAGGCCACATCTCGTGCCCTCTTATGACCCAACAAATAAAGCAAATGAAGGTTGAGCTATTAATTGTTGCATGTGCTACAATTTAAAAAAAAAAACATTGTTTTGGTCCCCTTTTATTTTCTTCCATCACAAGCAATCCAATCCCATTGATCTGATCTCTTACCTTTTGCTTTGAGAAACCAATTAATTATGTAAATTTTAACCTATTGTTTATATAGATTCAACCCTAGTTGTTTCACCGCAAGAAAGCATTTGCTTTAAGGACCTCCTTTTCCTTTAAAAAGAGCCTTTTTAGAAAAAGGTTACTCTTTTACGTCTGTACTAACATTTGCAGTAGAAGTATATATTCCAATTTTTGTGCATGATCATATGTTACATAATTTCTACCACTTGTGGGGATATTGGTTTCATTTCATTTTGTGAGCAGCATTTTGTTTTTTTTAGGAAAAATAGTTTTAATTTAATTAGAATAATATAACACATCCAATTTAATTATAACTATTTTTTATGCAAATAGAAATAACTAGTTTTATTTAAAAAGAAAAATCTAAATTTACGATCATCAGTGTAAATTAAACGCATAATTAGGAAATTTTTTATAATCATTGACATAAAACTAAACACTTAAGATCATGTAAGGATCATGCGAGAAAAATGTTAATACACATCCAAAAAACCCCGAACAAAATAAAGATACGAATAGGGGACCAAGCTAATGAAAAATCATCAAAAATCGTGAATTAGAGTCGAGCATCGTGAGAAAACTATCTCCGAACACAAATCGCATATTCAAATTCATCTGAGGGTCCAAAACAGGGTAGGTCAACATAATAACAAACAAAACACTATCTTGATCAATCGAGACGATGTCAAATACAACCTTAAAAAAAATAAGGACCAAATGACCGATAGAGAAGATTGAAAATATGTTAAAACACAGAAAATAGCATGCCATAAAAGCAGATGAAATCGTGTCATGAAGGCAAAGCTAATAGAAATTAAAAAAAAAACAAAAGAAAAATGAAGATACAAAATAAGAAAATATATGAAAACGAAGGAACACTGATAATTGGAGATCAACGCTAAAGCTGGTGCTGTCGTCGACCAATAAAATTAAATACAAAGTCCAAACGACTTGTGAAAAAAGAGAGAAAATCCTAAGAGGCGTGAGAGAAAAACAACCTCTAATATCTAATCCTAATTAAAATTAATTATTATAATTATGTTTGTATAAATAATCAAAACATATTCGGATCTAATTTAAAGTTAAATTAATTTATGATGTTAGACATACATACAATCTCAAGATTACTATACAATTGTAGCCCTTGTCATTATCTAGTAGCCCAACCTTCCAAATGAACTAATTTTGGACGTCAAGTGTCAAAAGGAGAGGGAAACGATGTGGAGTTAAAAGCAATAAAACAAGTCCAAATTCTTGCACACATGCAAAGCATTCCAAACTATCCTTCGAATATTGTTGTCCCATAGATTAGCTTTACTAAAATTAGTTTAGATTTTATACCAATTGAAGAAATGGAATGAATTTTGAGACGGGTGGTCTTTTATTCGAAAGGAAACTAGTTAAGAATTTGCCAACTAACCAAGCAGGTATAAAGTATCCCTTGAGAAAGGGATAGAAAATTAAGGCCGTAGCATTGGTTGTATAAATCAAGTAATTTCCCCATACATATACACGCACTTGCTCAATCTAATGTATTCTATTGGTAATAATTAAGTTATCAAATAAGGAAATAAGACAAGAAAAGCTTTCTCCAAAATGCCCAAAAAAATTACCAAATGGTCACAAAAAACCTAATCAACATAGTACATATTATTTATCAGTTTTGTATTAGTTTAATTTGATTGATATCGTTATTATTATAATATATAAAAAATAACATATATTTATGTGGGTGTGTTTTAGAGAGGAAAAAAATAGAGAAAATCATATTAGGGTTTACTTTTTCATGATGGACTGGGCAAAGGTGAGCTCACCTTTCCAACTGACTCGACCATTTTTGCTGCCACAAATTCTCACAATAATTATCAGAACCTGAAGCATGCTAATTATTAATTTCGCATTTCATCCGAAACAATTAATTAACCTTTCGACTTTATAGCAAACCAAAAATCCTCTTTTAGATTTTTCTTTACGGAATGCTATAAACATGGAATGACGCAATATTTTATGCTAAGATAGGTGATCTTATAAAATTTAAAGCAGGAAAGAACTTATAAAATTTGAAGGTACAAAAACATATTTTCAATAAAAATATAAAAAAATATCTAAAATATATAAGAATTTGAAACTTTTAGAGGGACGATCACCCCAACGACCCTATTCTAAGTCCATCCGTGGCTGTAAGAGCATGAGGTTTACTTACAAAAGAAAACTGTCATAAATTATCTGGTTACCACTATCATATAGCCTTTGTTACCATGCTCATTAATTATTATTCCCAATATCCGAATAAATTTAATTAAACTAAAAATCAATCCTTGTACAAAAATATATTCTTATAAAGAAAAACGAAATGAAAAGGTTAAGAAAGTAGATGCCAGGCTTAAAGGCTTTGATTCCATGCAAATCTTGTCCACCTTTCTGTCATGTTATCACTGACTGCTTAATTTGGAAAGGGCCATACATTTTGTACTAGCTGACCCTATACTCAATCATAACACACCCTTCATTACATACTCTTTTGACCCCTTTTCATTCATTATTTTTGTTATATGTAATAATATTTGCCGGAGAATCTCTAGATTTTGTCTCGGCATCATTTCTTTTTCGGAATTTAAAATTTTAAAATAATAAATTTCAAACATCAATGATTATAATATTCCTACGAAGTTTTATACCATATGTCATATTATAAATCTTAGGACCCACGGATGAAATTGATAATGTAGCTCAAAAAGTTAATTAATTTCAGCATTTTTCCGTGGAAGGGTGACCACTTATCATCCGTAGAGTTGAAAAAAAAATGGAGTATAATACAAGGAAAGCTGTTAGGGGGGGAAAACTTTGCATTGAAATGTATAGTTTGAACAGTGTTGTGGTGTGGATGTTAATAAATTAAGCAATCAATTAATATGACGCAATTCTGGAATTGCAATAATGTAATGTGGTATCTTAATTAAGATTAATAATTGACTCTATCTCGTTTCTGCTGTGTCCCATTGCTTAGATGCTAATCAACAATTTGGCTTTCCCTAAACTGCTATGTGTAGATTCTGTTAATTATTTCAGTTTGATAATTGATTAATGGGAATTGTCTAGTTTTTATGCATATTTAGGGCATGTTAAAATTGGGGGGGGGGGGATGCAGCTGATATTGATTACAATAAAGGATCCAGCTAATGGTATTTAAACTCGCAATCTTCTTAATGTTACAATAATAATAAGGATAAATTATACATTTAGTATCTCAACTATATTTTTTTATCTTGTTTTGATCACCCAACTATTTTAAAAAAAATCATATCTAACGTATAGTTTTGGTTTCATTTTGGTTATTCTTCGTTAAAAATAAGCAGTGCTACTGTCGTGTCACTGTAAATTAATGTTACATCATCTTTGAATAAAAATATTACATCAATAGGTCTGTTAATTTTTTTTATGATAGATAATCAAAATAAAATAAGAATGTAACGTTAAGTATGATTTAAAAAAAATGATATCGTTTTGGTACTAAAAATGTAATTGACCCTAATAATAATGTTATTCAAACTAATATTCAGTAGACAAATAACACTTTAATATTGTTAGGAAAACAGTTTATTTTCTCTATAACAAATGTGTCTAAACATGTTTACATTCGTATTCTCTTATATTGTGATATTAAAATAAACTTTCTTTACCTAATAGTCTTGAGTGATTATAAAGTAATATTTGTTTAAAATTTCTCTTAATTATTGATAACACATACACACTCATAAACATAATTGTTTGAACTCATAATCTCTAGAAAAAAAAATAATGTTGCCTTTAATCTTTGAGACCATTTGATAGGTTGAAGTTAAATAACACAAAAGGTGAAAATTAAAAGGAACTCTTGATATGATTATGATTACAATTGGTAAAAAATGTAATGATGAGGTTTCATATGAATTTAAAGCTAGCTTGAACGCTCATTCATTGCTTGTTCAGAAACATTATTATTAGATCACAGTAACATTCGAATATCGATTGAAATCTCTTAATTTTTTTGTTGTTGTTTCATTGCATAATTGCTTGACTTTGAGAAAGGCAGTTGGTTGAAGTGATTTCTTTTATGAACTTTGAGAAAAAGCCTTTACTTTATGCACTTCATTACATGCGACGTTTCAGCAGAGAATTTCAACAGCAACCTTTGATCTAGAACCAAATGAAAGTAACGATAAAAACTTGGATAGGACATATATATATATATAATGATATTCATTTTGGCAAATAATAACAAAGCATCCATGGTGGGACACTTCTATAAACATTTGATATATCAATGTGAAATGACATAATTTTTACCATGCATTTACATAACTAGTCCTCTTGTATATATAAAATGCAAGGTGTCGACTCTGTAAATCTTTTACTGTGCCATATGAACTCAGTAAGTCTAAGAAAAGTGGGTATTGTTAGAAACAACATTGGGTCCCACAAGGTCTGCATGTATGCCACGTGTACAAGGCAAGCCCATCACAGAGGAATGGAGAGAGAGAGAGATAGGGAAGGAGGGGTCCCATTATAAGCCATGCAACTCTTACAGGTTGACACTGCTGATTTTAACCTTTTGCCCGCAAACCCTAACTGGGCGACCAACATTAAATTCACACCCTCACTGCTGCACTCTCATCAGTCTTTTAAAATCACCTCTTTTATTTTAGGAAGCCAACTTAAAGGGCTTACCTCTGAATATCTTACCTCTCTCCCCCCTTTTCGGATCTCCTTATCTTTCTTTTTCACTTTTGAAAAATACAAAACAACTCCTCAGCACTGAATCTGGCCTGCCATTGGCTGTAACCTGTAAAGATGGGGCACCATTCTTGCTGCAACAAGGAGAAGGTGAAGAGAGGGCTATGGTCACCCGAGGAAGATGAGAAACTTATTAACTACGTTACAACTTATGGCCATGGTTGCTGGAGCTCTGTCCCTAGACTTGCTGGTATGGTTCTGTTATGTCAATTCTCGAACGTTGGACTGGTTTTTAGAAACCCTTTCTTCTTCTGGTTTTTAGAAACCCTTTCTTCTTCTTCTTTTCACAGACAACAACTACAAAGCCGATTCCATTAATTTTGATTCCTTGTTTGTTTCCTTTTCGGGTTTTTTTTTCATGGTGCAGGCCTTCAGAGATGTGGAAAGAGCTGCAGATTAAGATGGATAAATTACCTTAGACCTGATTTGAAACGTGGGAGTTTCTCTCCACAAGAAGCAGCTCTCATCATTGAACTCCATGGTATTCTGGGCAACAGGTAACTTCAATGGAAGTGCTTACTATAATCACGGTAATCATCAATGTCTTTTCTTTTCATTTTTGTACATTTTTTAACGTTTTCTTGAACAGATGGGCACAGATAGCGAAGCATTTACCAGGGAGAACAGATAACGAGGTGAAGAACTTTTGGAATTCAAGTATCAAGAAGAGGTTTATCACTCATGATGTTGCACCTTTCGCCTCTTTGGTTGATGTTCACAATCCCAAACCCCCGGAGGAAGCACCTGATTTTGTCTCTCTAAATGTAAACCCTAATTTGATCCTTGGTGAACAGCGAGACCAGCTCTATCTTTCCCCATCAGCATCAGTTCTACAAAGCTTTGTTCATGATGCAGATTTCAAGCCAATCCCAAGCAATGACACCGCTGATTTGATTCACCATCATTTCCCTTTAACCCCAATGCTCCCACCCCTTTCAAATACAGCTTCCTTCGACCCTTCATGGTCACTGCCCTTTGTTGCACCCCAACATGATCTGGGCGATCATCCCCAAAATAAAAAATATCACGTCCCAAATTTGAGCAATGAAGTAGTTCAAGATATTGTCAGTGACATGCTTGTAAACCAGATCGCTGGCGTAAATCCTTACGAGTTCGATCCATTAATGGAAACCCAAACAGTACCCAAACTCTGTGAAATCCTTAAAGGAAACCTCTGCAACATGCCGCTAACATCCGTTTCATTAGAAAACATCGACCCATTAGTTTCCAGGCTCTCATCGTGTTTTCCTATATCTGCTGGTTCATCATATTCACAGGACATGCACGTGGCAACAAACCAGATGGAGATCGTTGACACCATCATCACATCAATGCCGTTATCATCATCTTCTTAATCATCATCATCTTTATCAGCTTTTTCCAGTGGGCAATATATCACAAACCCTACTCTTCCATCAAGAAGTCGGGACCCTTAGGGAGGACGGATTCACTATTTTATAATAGAAATGGCACTGGATTTAGCTAGGTACTTTTTCTACCGTTTCACTCGATTAATACAACAGCAATTATTCTCTTGAAATATTTATGTGTATACACATATGTATATTATCATTATGTGTAGGGTTGTTATATGTGAGAGAAAAAGTTTAAAACCTAAATGTTAGTACTATTTCAGACATCCAGTCAAGATAATGCTCGACGATTTTCCATAAATAAATTTAGATTCTTAATTTCACATATTACTCGTTCCAATATATTAGTATATCAGTTTATATATTTATCTCTCTCATATATATTTATATCATGGAGGAATTTCATCTTCATGCATTTATCTATTTACATTTATAAAGTTAGGAGGCAGCCAATTCAAATTCAATATCCCAAGATTTTGAAGTCTACTGGTTCTTCCAGCCGAAGAGAAAAAGTATACACATGGAGAGGCACAGGCCCACGGTTGGCAGTAAATAATTGTTCTTTGCCTAAATTTTCGTCGTAAAGAACTTGATCTTATATTAGAAATGCATCAATATTTAACAAAGGTAGAAAGATAAGACAAAGTAAGAGTGGGCCACTCCGCCCCCGACACGGAAATTGTTATCAATGCTGGGCACTGGTAGTCAACTGGAAATCAACAGAGCTGTAGGGGCCCAAAACATACGGCCTTTGGAGCTTTTAACTACGTCGCCACTGTTAATGACTCTTAAGTTTCGGCAGTTAAAAAAGTAAGGGTAAACTACATGTTTAGTAATTAAATTATCAGTTTTTATTCATTTTAGTACCTATATTTTTAATTTTTTCAAAACCATACCTAACGTTACGTTTTTGTTTCGTTTTATTACCCTGCCGTTAAAAAATTAACGACACATCTTTCAATTTTTTAAACCATTTTTTATATTATTATTTCATTAATTTTAGGCAACTAATAAGGTGGTTACATATTAAAACAATACTAAGGAAAATGATCCCAGGAGAAATTTGCTTCCACTTGGGTTCAAAGCCAGCTCACTTAGAGATCAATCAAGCACTAAACCATCTAAGCTAGGCAAATGATTTATTTTAAATTCTAAAAGTATGTATTTAATTAATATTAAACTACCACTATAAAATTAAAAAGATTTGTTAGATCTATGATTTGAAATAACATCTCACAAACATATTTAAATATTTAACCATTAAATTAGTTTAAAAATTGCTTTAATACATACTAAAATTATTATTATTTAACTTATATAAATATTAAATTAAATTTAAATAATTTCTCATTTTATTTAAAAATAATTAACTATTTAAAACTATCTTTTATATTTAATTAATCAATTAAAAAATTAATTAAAATTTCAACTTGAAACTATTGAAATTATTTTTAATATAAAATTTTATTTATATTCATAAATAATTATAAAATATAAATGTATATTTAAAATTTAATAATTAAATAAATATAGACAATTTAAAACTGTATTTTTAAATTTTAAATAATTAAAAATAATCATAAATAAATATAAACAATTTAAAAATATTTATTTAAATTTTGAATAGTTAAATAAATATAATTTGAAACTACTTAAAACTATAAGCTAAATATATATTTTGGACACATCTGATTCTAAGATTTGTACAACTTAGATGGTTGAGCGCCTTTTCTCCTTTCCAAAAGACCCAGGTTTGAGTACGTGGAGGCTTTTTTTAGGTCAATTCCCTTTGTTTTTTTACTAGCAAGGTGGTGAAATGTGTCACCACCCTATTAGTTCAATAAAATTAATTAAATAATAATATAAATAATGATTTAAGAATTAAATAAATAATAAAAAATTGCCACGTCAGTTGTGCCGTTAGTTTTTAACGGCGATGTACTGAAACGAAACCAAAATGTAACGTTAGATAATATTTTGAAAAAATTAAAAAATTAGATACTAAAACGGATTAAAACTCATAGTCTAGATACTAAACATGTAGTTTGTCCAAAAAGTAAAGATAAACTACACACAATCATTTAATTATGAATTTAATTACAAATAAATTATTTTTTAAACTATAAATCTGTCATTCAATTAAAGTATTATTATAAATAAATTAATTAATAATTAAAACTAAAGTGATATAGTGATATGACATTATATAATAAGAGTTTAGTCTTAAAACTTATAATATGATTGATCAAATTAATTTTAATTCGAATTAATTTAATAAATTTAATTTTTCATGAGTGACTTCAATAGTTAAAAGAAAGTGTTGTACTTCTTTGACATATTGAGCTCAAACAACAACGTCTGTAAATTATGTGTACATTGTCAATGATTAAGAAAAATTATGAACATATACTATTTTTATAATCATTTAGACCACTTAAAAAAACTCATCAATTTTTTTTTTTTTAGATTATTTCTTTTGTAATTGATTTATCATGAACAAAAATAATAAAGATCGCGAGAGATTCAGCTGTTCTTTTGTATCGACTAAATATAATGGGTCCCCTAGACATACACTCGATATCCAATCAGATGCAGCCTTTTGAATGTCAGTATCGATTAGTGAAGGATAAATCGATAAGAGTTACTGCAATTTAACATTTTACAACAAAGGAAAAAGACAGATACGAACCATATTATGTTGATTCAACCTCTTTCTATTAAATCATTGAAGAAAATTTTAAGAAGCTTACAACAATCATAAACACACTTGTCATCCAAGGAAGCACAGACAGTGGGATTCATCTAGAGATAATCTATCATTCTTTCTGTTTGATTGTGGTACTTTTACATGATCATTATTATTTTCATAGTCAGCTAGATCAATTAATTAAAAATCTACTAATTTTATTGATCATTATAATGTTGACGTGATATTTCACGATATTGACAATGATATGACAGTTTATAATGTTGATATGATAGTCTATGGTAAATGGTGACGTGGCTGATGATATGATTGATAGACTAAATTAAGTTTTATATTGAATTTGATGGCTAAATTGATTTTTTTAAGTTAAGAGACTTATTTTATTTTTTAAATATAAATATTTAAAATTTATGTAGACACATAATTTCGTCTCATTCTCATATCACATATATATTAATATATTTATGTTTATTTGACGCATATATATAAATGTATATTTATTTATTATTTTATTACACTTGCAGACCCATTACACGCGCAACCCAAAGCCCAACAATGACCCAAAGTGTATCCCGAGAACCCAGCTACCAAACAAGCCCGTAAATCAGATCCAACCTGAATCGATTAGGGTTCTGGAACCCTAACCCCATCCTTTGTTCCAACAGTCCTCACCAGCGCTGCATGAGATCAACTCGTGCCTCCGATCTTCATGGCTACACGCCCCAATGCCGAACCATCCGGCACAAGGATCTCGCACAATTAACAAGCAAATGTTAGAATCCTATTAGGACTCAAAATAGGTCTAAAAATAGCACAAATCTAGGCTATAATTAAGTGTAAACTCACTACAATTAGACACACATATATCACAAGATAGATACGAAACACGTAGAGAGATACCAAAGCAATCAAATCGTTTGTAAGGTGTTTTCGGAAGAGAAATAAAAGATATGTACAAATTTTTTACCTTTTTGTTCGATATTAGCCCATGCATGTTGTTTTCGACTCGTTTTAACACGCAAGGTGTTCGGCCGAGGACCGGGGATGAGTTGTTTTCGAACTTCCGTAGTAGATCTACTCCTCCTGAGGCCATTTTGGAAAAAATAAGTTTGGTTTTCGAAGAGAGGGGAATGAAAGCTCTCGGAAAAACAAAAAAAAATTAACTTTCGCCGCCAATAACCGACGGCCGACAGGCGACACAGTGGCCATTTTCTGAAAAATTGGGCGTTTGTTCATCAGAGTGAAGAACACTCAAGAACATGGAGAGAAAACAAGGGAGGAGTGTAACATCCTCAATACCAGGTTAGTGATCAAATTGTAAAGTTTCAGAATTTGGTAACTAAAGAAGAACAATGGATTAGTTCAATGATTTATTTGGAAATAAATCCTAAAAGTTGTTAATAATTATTAGATGAATTAGAGGGCAAAGTGGTCATTTGAATTGGAAAGGATAAAATAATGATTTATATGGGATAAGCTTGAGAGATTTCTCCAGAAACTCTCTTTTCTTCTTCTTCTTCCTTTCCTCCCGTGTCTCCATAGCAAAGGTAAGTTTTCTGATTAGTTGATTATTTGTTGACTTTAAGTATGTGTTGTGTTCATTAGAGGATAACTAAGTTTAAGGAAAGCTTAAGTTGTCTTAAAATCAAAAGATAAAGGAGTTAGAGAAGATTAAAGATTTGGAGTTCTTGAGTGAAATCTTGAAATAGAGTTTATAATAAGAATTGAAAGTTAAATTTGGCTTGTCATCAATCTAGTTAAGACATACGAAGTGTTAGAAGTGGAATTAACACATGTTGTGAAATTAAGGTAATTCTTGAATTTCATATGAATGATAGAATTTTGAGGTTTAAGATGAAATAAATGAGTACAGATTGGTTTAAGTGTGTGTACTGGAGTTAAGAATAAAAAAGGGGATGAAACATGAAGGATTTAAGCAAAAATGGATGAATTTTCGGGTTTTAAAAGAGGATTTTGGGCAGAGTACATCGATGCACATTCAATGTGTAACTCCATCACTCAAGGTGCATCGATGCATAAGGGGTGCATCGATGCATAAGGAATGCATCGATGCACTCATTTAAATTAAATGAACATCGAATTCCATGGATGCATCGATGCATAAGGAGTGCATCGATGCACCTGCTTAAAATACAAACATCGAATAAGATTTATGCACCGATGTATGGGTAGTGCATCGATGCACCCGTTAAGGGCTGCATCGATACATGGTGTAGTGCATTGATGCATACCTTCAATAAGAGATGGAAATAGCTTTCTTTTAGCCTAAGGATTTATAGTTTGAAATATATCAATTCGTATGCTGATAAGTATCCATGTATTACTATGTAGATTTAGAGCGTAATCTTATTCCAGAACAATCGAAGGATTAGAATCGAATCAAAGCAAGGCTAAGGTGAGTGTAATTTAAATTGTACTTATGTATCAAATAAA